GTCCGTGAGATTTGAACCCTAGACCTGCTACTTGGAGAGGGTGACGACTTGACCACTTCACTAAGCCGCCACACCTCAAGTAATAGCTATTCTATCTTATGTTACTTGGAGATATTAAACATATATGCTTGTTATAAAGTCTTATTTGTTTATCACGAAGATGACCTGTAAAAATACTGATTTATTGAAATAGCTAATTAATCTAATTGCTTCATTTGATATTCAGCAATATAATTCATTTTTTTTAAAGATTTTACCAAAAATAAGGTTCATTTAGTGAGCTATACAAGGCAAAAAAATTTTATTTGGATCTAATTTTCTTATTTGCCGTCTGTAAAATAAAAATACAATCTATTTAGAATATAATAAAATCTGTTAATTATTTTATTGGAAATTTTACCTTGCTGCAGCATATTTGCCTGCTAAATCTGAAACAAATACCTTTATTTTAATATTTTTTTCTGCATTCTCCATCATTTCTTTTATATGCTGAATAATATCAGCTATATGAGATCATTTTGTACTTATTGTATTTGTACCCCAAACTAAAGTTTGTCCCTTTGATTTAATAAATACAATGCCCCATAATTGTTCCAATTTGACATTAGTCCATGCATCAAATGTAGCTGTAATACTATATTTATTATTTGATGCAATTTTATAATATCTTGTTAAAGAGATTAAGCTGTATTCATTAATATTCTATCACCAATTGCCCTCTGATTAGGAAGAGAAAGTCAAGATGCAATAAATTCAAATAATGCTTTAGTATCTTCATTTTCTACAAATGAAAATGCAAGACTATTTGACATGATCATTCTAAAAAATAACTGCTCAAATTTTGATATATCATTTGCTGACATTTGGCGAAAATAGTATGAAGAAAAAGGAGGCTCTTAATAATTGCTAGTAGAATTAAAGCTTGAGATAGAAGATTTTCTTCATTTAGAATAAATTCGCTATCAACTAATTTTAAAAATTCTTGAGTAAATTATAAATTTATAATTTTACTTAATTACTATTACAACCTTCAGAACTATCAATTTCATCTTTAGATACTAGTAAGTTAAAAATTTCATTAACTACTTTTTCAGAAAATGATTTTTTAAAATTTTTACATTTGCCAAATTTGCATAACTAGCTTTGCCTTGTTTGTTGTACAACACTTTGGCTTAATTTAGCTTCTTCTAACCCACCATCACAATTATTAATACAACAAAGACATACAGCAGTCACATTTTCTTTATTTTTTGCATTTTTAGTAAGTACAAAATATGGACAAAATTTATGTAGTGCTGGAGGCATTTTTTCAGAAAACAATTATTTTGAATATAAGAATATATATATTTTTTAAAAAAAATAAATATATTTATACATATTTATAGTCAGATTTTCTCTTTAAAAAGAAGTATAACAAAATATATACAAAAAGTATGCTATTGTAATAAAAAATATGCTAATGTAACAGGAAAGTTTCTTTATTATGAAAATAAATTAGTTCCAGTTATGGCACTGTAATAATAATTTGGTTGAAAAATGTAAATATGGCATTAAACTCTATAATATGTAAATGCCAATTCACAAATTTCTTATTAAGGTTAAAGACATTTTTATATTTGGTTTTGTATACTGCTTAAGTATTATACAAAATCTTATAATTCTATTGGTCAATCTACATATAGGTCATATTAATCATGACCTGATCTAGGTGACAAACAGTCATAATTGTTATATCACTTTGTTATCTCTTATATAACCATAATGACCAATAACTACAGGTCATATACGTAATAACAAGGGTCATTTAAAAAAAGATAAAATAACCTGGTCATTTACCAACACTGAATTCTAATGCAAATTAACTCAACTACAACCATTCATGGTTATCAGAATATCAGACATGTGTTACAGAATTTGTTATATAGCTCATGGTAGAAACCAAGAAAACTCTAATGCAAACTTACACAATTTTAATCACATACTGTGATTACTAAAATAGCAAATAATTTCTAAAAGAATATTTTACCATAACTCATAATGAAAATCATGATAATATCAATACAAACAAACTTAATTTAAACCATTGTGTCTTGCATTATTGCTCTTTTTAATTTAGTAGAATTGATCAATATGTAATTTTTGTGAGCTCCGTGAGTCCCATAATACAATATGGCAATTATATAAATTCGTTATATTTTCAGAACTCATGAGTACTTTTTTTTTAAGCATTTTATTATATTTATATTAGTGGGTTCTGTAAATATAACAAATTTAAATAATTACATATATAGTACTTATGCACCTTGTGAGCTGATCAATCCAAGTAGAAAAGAGCGATAATAAGTTCTGTAGCAAAATGTTTACAGTAATTATAGTATTAATATATCTTAAATTAATTTTATTTATTTAATTCATTTAATAAGTAACAAAATATTTATTTATTGATTAAAATAATAATAATAATAAAACCTTCATACCCATTTCTAACCATGAACGATAATATAAATTTTCTTGCTTACATCTTCCAATATTTCTCAGTGATAAAATAAGTGAAGTTTCAATTTATAATGAAATAAATATTAATATTTCTAACCATAATAAATTTGCTGACCAAAAAATAAAAAAAATACATAAACTAGCTGAAAGAGTAATTCTATGTTTAAAGAGTTGGCTTCAAAAAGAAATTTGCAAAATTGAACAGTTAAACAACCCTGTGCTCAATTATTTATATTAAATTAGCTTCATATATAAAATATATACTATATATTCATACTTATATCACTATATTTTGAAAAATTATAGAACCAAAAAGACGTACTGACCAGACTAATAAACATTATAAAACTGGGACTGGGACTGATCAGGACGGACTGATCAATTCCATAGGGGCACCAGTGGTGCCCATTCTACTCTTGTACATATATAAAAATTAATTAATTTAAATATACTATTTAAAAGTTTACATTACTTTAAAAGTTATTTAACATGCGTAAGACGCATTTATATGAAGTAGTGATGTGATCCAGATCATACGGATTATGTAGTGATGTAAACTATTCAAATCCATATAATGCGAAGTGATGGTAGATTACGTGATCGAAAAGAGGAGCAAGCCACGTGATAACACGGCCACAATTCTCACAGCTATGAACATGTGAGAATAAGGAACCAACGACCAAAAGAGTTTAGGGCATGGAAGATCTAAACGAATCAAGATAACAATAAGAAATTGCATATATCTGGCATAAAAGCCAAGTGCCACAGGTAAGCATAAATATCGATCGAAGAAAGCAAAGCTCTTTGGGCTGAAAAATTGCTGAGGCGAAGGTTCTCGCTAGATTATCGTATAAAAAAAAAAAAATTATTGATTAAATTGTAAACGATAGCAATAATAATAATAAATATATGATGTCATCTGAACGTAACGAGACAATTGAGACTGAACCCCAGATAAAGGCATATATCGATAATGCTTACCAGAAAACTATATTAACGATCGTGGATAAAGTAAAATAACTGTTAGACCAACAAATGGAAAATCAGAAACGTTGAAATGATCAATTTCAACTGACAATAGACAACCGCTTCAAGCAACTTGAACAAATAAACTGGGCCAATACAGAAGAACAACCCGGAATCCATCTACACACAGACGAGAACCAAGTTAATATAACATCACCAGCAACGATGAGCCCCGCAACAAACGCAAGAGACAATCTACACCAAGGTAATTATCCTTCCGCTCCAATCCTCACAATATATTGTCAAATGCAACTCAGTTGCAAATTACAGATGACACGAACGATCTACAAGATAATGAAAATCAGAATCAGTCAAATAAACTAGCACAAAAACCAAACCTAACAAATCAAATGTGGAAATCAATAGCATTTGGTTCATATGTGGACCTCCAGGAATTTGTCTATAAAAATCTAAAAACTAATATAAAGCTCCACCAAAATGAAACTCCATTACAGATAGGAGAAGGGGGGCTCATATCCATTCGTAAACGAAACATATACAGCAAATTTAGCAATATATCCGAGTGGTTACTAGCATTCAGATCTTATATGGAAGCGATATTAATCGTTTATGAGAACAGAGAGCGGGAATTGAATTTCTACCAGGACCACATAAGCACTCTCTGCACCAAATATGAATTTATTGTGGTAATGAATTATGACGAAGATCGTCGACTGGCGCTAACGATGGACTGTGAATCCACGTTACTCAAATGAAACATAGAGGCCGAAGGTGAAAACTTCAACGTAACAACAATCAAGAAGTTCAAATTCAGCAAATCACGAATACATAGGTCCGAATTGACATGGCATGATGGCAGAGAAATCTGCATAAATTGGAACCGAAAATATTGTAAAGATAAGAGATGCAGTCGCGTGCATACATGTTTGACATGCAAAAAAATGGGCCACACCGAACATAAATGTTTCTTGGGCAACAACAGATCAAATTCGTCAGCCAAAAGCAATAGCCAAGTTGACAACCAACCCAAGAATTAATAATAATAAAAAAAAAAAAAAAGGAACATACACACATATACATACATAAAAAAAAACAAAAAAAAAAGGAGAAACTTAAAAAACAAAAAAAAAAAAATATTCGTAGTATAAACAAAGGGGGAAAAAGAAAAGATAGAGTAACAAACAATGACAATAACATTAACAGCGTCATTATCACACATATATATATATATAAAGAATATAAATTTTTGTTTCTTTTAGAGAGATTGATAAACTAATGACGCATATATACAGATAATAGGCAATCCAGAAACCTTTGTCATGAGGCATAATATAAAATTTCGAGACATATGACCTCAATCGAACTACCAGTCTTACAATCGATCAATGAGACTCTAAGCGGCGTCCCGCCAAGAGAGCTGCCGTTTACTGAAAACGAATTAAGGATAATGCACCAACTTAACCCTGATAAATTCAATGTACAAACCATAATCAATGTGCAAGCGTTCAAGGAATTGACGAACCAACACCCCAATCAACCCTTTATTGAATATTTGATAAAGGGCATTATGAACGGTTTCAGGTTTAACTTTACGGGACCTCGAACAAAATTAGTCCAACCAAACTTAAAATCAATAGACCTCGAACCTACGGCCCTGGAGAAATACATACAAGATGAAATGAGCAAAGGCCGCATATGCAGTCCCTTTACCGAAGAACTACCTCTATATAAATTATACCAGGTCAACCCATGCGGTCTGGTTGAAAAGAAGGGGACTAACCCCAAAGTATACAGGGTGATATTCCACTTGTCCACTCCCTTCGGATCAAGCATAAACGACGGAATTGATGGAGTAGAATTCGCGACAAAGTATGAGAATGTGAATCACACCATAAGATGGATAAACCTATATTGCAGAGGGTGTACTCTGTCAAAGATAGATATTAAAGACGCTTACCGCATATTACCTGTACACCCAGTCGATCAAGTCCTACAAGGCATGGAGTACAGAGGGAAGTTATACTTTGACAAGGCTTTAGTCTTTAGAAATAAGGCGTCTGGTGGGATATTCTGCAGGTTCGCAGATGCCGTCATGTGGATAGCTTCGCAGCAGGGTATAAAATCAATAATACACTATGTAGACGATTTTCTGATTATCTCTAAATCAGATGGTAAGAAAGAGCTCCAACAATTTCTTCGGATATTAAGTATAATTAATGTACCGTTCAAAGAATTGAAACTAGAAGGTTCAGATACAGAAATTATATTCCTAGAGATACTGATAAACACTGAGAGAATGTCAGTTTCAATCCCACTATCCAAAAAACAAAAAGTTAAGGAACTTTTATCTGATTGGGCTACGAGAAAGTGGGCTACAAAAAAGAGCTCCAATTGTTGGTAGGTTCGTTGATATGGCTATGCCAAGTCCTACCTCAAGGTCGACCATTCGTACAATGCTTAATAAAAGCCAGGAAATGTCAAAACACCCGAGACACCACATTAGAATAACTAACCCCATGGTAGCAGACATCATGTAGTGGCACAATATAATAGAGCAGTGGCCCGGGACCTATCTAATGGAAGATCAGGTATGGCAACAGCCCAGTATAAACAACCTTTACACGGACGCATCTAACATCGGAGACGGAGCAACATTTGAAGGGTACTTTACGACATTCGTATGGTCAGATTACATGATAGCAACGCATCAAGATATTCAGGAACACGAAATGTTGACAATATTAGTAGCTATTTGCACTTTTTCGCCCCTATGGACCAGGAAAAAATTAATAATATAGACAGATAATCTTGCAAACGTGGAATCATTTTATTCTGGATTCTGTAAGAACATAAAAATAAATGAGATCATAGCCCAGATGTATCAGTCCCAAGCCCTAAACAATTTCTCTATTAAACTCGAACATATTCCCGGCAAGCTAAATACAGATGCAGATCTTCTATCGCGGAGCGGGCACAAAAAATATATAAGGAAAAACCCCCTAGCATGCTACCTTCAACCCAACGTACCACCTGAATATACTAACAAAATATCCACTCTTCTATCTTTATTGCAGTAAGATCACACGAACCAACTAACTATAAAAATGATTGGAGCAGCAACGAAACACCACTCGACAAGCAAGCAGCAAACATTCTGGAGCTTGAACCCCCACGGCAAAAAACATACGAGTCGATCGTAAGAAGGTACCAGGCACTAGCCAAACAAATCAATGGTTCAACGAAGACGGCAAAATATGGCCCATACCGAAAGAAGCACTGATAAAATTCATAAAGTCATTACACAATTATGTTAGCCCCCCAACAATTAGGCCATACTTATCAGCGTTAAAAAACCACCATACAATTAATTCGTATGATTGGACCTCAGTTAGAGAAGATCTATTGGTAACACAGATACTTAAAACCATAAAAGTGAACTACTAGCACACCTCAGTACAACAAAAGATGCACATTACCAGGGCCCACCTGCTCCACATAAAACGTAACTTAAATATGGGAAATCCAGATAACTTATTGTTCTAGACCGTAGCTCTAATGGAATTTTACAGATTAGCATGTCTTGGAGAACTCATCCCCAACAGCAAAACAGACAAAACCAAAGTACCTAGCTTAAAGGCATTAAGGTTCGAAAAAATCAGAGCCAAAACATTTGCAACGATCCAATTTGCCAGAACAAAGAACTATAAATCGGCCAATAGAGTATCTCTAATTATTAACCCAACAGCAGATAACCTATGCCCAATTCAAGCACTCAAAGTATACACTATCCGGCGCATAGGCAGGTTATATGCATCAGGAAACGAAGCACTATTTGTCAAACAAAATGGATCGTGGTCTACCAAACGATGGTTTTGCAAAAAATTAAAAGCAATCTTACCACATGCTGATGTTGCTAGACACAGCTTTAGGGCAGGTGGGACAACTGAACTAGTAATCCGTGGAGTTCAGTTAATAATGGTTCAGAAGATAGTACAGTGGGATTCAGACACGTTTTTCAGATATATTTGGGCACACCCCGTAATGATAGCTTACATCTTCATCAGGGCATATTCGCAAAAAAAAAAAAAAAACATTTTTTTAGTGATAATAATATAGGTAAAGTGACAGAAGCAACTTAAAAAAAAAAAAAAAAAGTAATAAATAAATAAAATGAAATCATTAAGACACGACCGGACCTCACAACAAAAAATCATACCTTTGAAACACTTGTGCGGCCCATTCATCGCGATAATTATAGGGTCATTAATAAGACATATATATACGGGTCAGTGGGGTCGCGCCAAGCGTGTGCGAAAATACATATATATATATATATAAGACAACAACAAACAAACATAAAAAAAAAAAAAAAAACGAATAAACAGAATTCAAAAAAAAAAAAAAAAAGATTACAACAAGCGTACGTGACCAATGATGGAATCAGAAACTTTGGAACACGTGATTTCATCATTCCGTAACGCATCGCTCCATCACTCACAGCCGGCTTACTTCGGTAGGCGGGGAATGGCCCCACCGGCTTATTCTACGGCAACTCCCATGCAATTACGATTGCTTCTTTGCGGGATGTCTCGCTGTCCTGGCCGTCTCGGTCAGCCACTCAATTTACTATCATATATTCTGCCAAATTTCAATAAAGATCCAACATAACTTCTGGCCTAAATTGATGGCTGGTGTAATCCAAATAAATAATAAATAACACATATGTATCAAGTGATGCGAGTGCTTTTCGTACCGTTAATACAAAATCGATATCCGTATCCATACGGATTTGATCTGCAATTCACAGTTAGAAAATAGTTAACTATGCAAACTATGCAAACTATGCGGATTGCCGATCAACTATTCAAACTACACAGTTTGTGTAGTTTGAATAGTATAGTTAATACTGTAATAATAATACTACAGCTATAGTTTTCACAGTTAACTATAATTATTTGTGGTTTGAGTAGTTAACTACAATTAACTATAGTTTGGTAGTTAACTACAAATAACTATAGTTTGAGTAGTTTAACTACTACGTATTAGCTGTAGTTCGAGTAGTTGATCGGCAATATGTACGGATGATACGGATTACACAAAAATACGGATTTCAAACAGTTATCCGGATTGCCGATCAACGGATCACATCACTAATATGAAGTGCATTGAAGATTTAACTAAAGATACCCAGTGATGGACAAAATGTTGTCTATATAGTAAAATATGTCATGACTAGAGATGTGCGAATGCAAGTTTTTTTGGCTTTGCATCACATAATGCAGCATTATGTCATATGCATTATGCAATTC